CTATGCAAGCCCCGGTTATGAAGCTGAAGCTGGAGCTCAGCCTACTGCACAGTAAGGAAGGTACCTTACCATGAACACATGTCTCTCCCAGCTTCCACCAGTTCCTTGCTTCTTTTTCAGAAACAGTCCCCGCACATCGCATACTGTGTGCATGGTACGGTATCAGTGCCCGAAAGAGGTTTGACGAGTTTTTCCCTCCCGCTGCATAGGTCCAATATCGGTGGCATGTTCCAGAAGCCGCGCCATCTGCGTTCCTCATCTCCCCCATGAACTTGTGCCACCCAACGATGACCAAGTAAATCAAACTAAACAACGGAATAACAGGACAAAGGGGGGAGCCAACCCCAGAAAAAACAAGAGTCTTTTTCCAATTCTTGACGGCATGCAAAATGAAAAACGGCTCCGATATCTGCTAACCGGTGCAACATTGGCACGCTGCCCCTCTCTGTCGGTAATTGGGACCGAGCAGCCCAGCCGTTGCCAATCGCTAAGTGATAAGTGGATCCTCCTCCTCGACTCTCCCGTTTCCCGTTTCCCGTTCAGTCCAAGGTCCACCGTCCACCCCTCCAAAACGCCGCGACGCCCTGCCACCGTAACTTCCGGAATATGAGAGGAATATTACCTACAAGGGAAGTCACCTCTCGGGTTCTCAGGCTGGTCTCTCTCAAAGCAGGAAGGAAGAAAAATGACCAGTCGATATCTACTCCGTAGTATCTTACCTTATCTCGCCTTTCCCCTTCGAAATGACGACCTTCGCGTCAAACGCAATTTGATTTCCTGCCAGGGGAAGCGACGCGGCTTTGTACATCCAATCTCAATCTTGAGGTGCCTTACCTTGCTTGAGGCAGCTCAAGTATCCCGTACGAATACCTGACGCCGACGGAGTAAGCACCTCCTTCTTTTGACTTTAACCTCGACAGACAAACACAAACACCAGGGCCGAGCACTGAGCACGAGAAAAGAGAGTCAGGAACCCGCAGCGAGAGCCATGCGGTGAAGTCATTATCAGATGCTTTTGCCGTTTCTTCTTTGCTTTACCGTCCAAGCACCGTCAAGTCTTCCACCAACCACATTGCCCAATCCCAACCACTGCCCGCTCTTGTCTACCATTCTGTATGGAATGACCTGGGTCACCTTCCCCTCCGTCGAGACACACGAGTGACGAACCGCCGTCCTGGCTTGCCTGACCTTACCATCTCTGCTAACCTCAAACATCCCAGGAACCTCGGCCAACCGCGTGCCACACATCGTGGGAAGGGGTTCCCGACCTAAACCTGCTTCACGGCAGAGTGACCCGACCGTCCAACCCCCCGCACCTTTCATTCGCCCAAACGGCCTCTTCAGGGTTGATACTGGCAAGCGTCAATGTGCAAACTCTCTTCCAGAAACACGCCAGCTACCTCACCTACACGACCTCACCTTGCAAAGCGTTGCTTAATCGACCCAGTGTTCCCCTTAGCTGCTCCATTCATACCTCTCCGTTCGGCTGTCCCCAAATTCAATTGGCAAAGAAAATTGCCCGACTGGACACTGAACCCAGCAAGCCGAAGATGCTATCGCTCTATTGCAACTCTACCTTCTACTGTACGAATATATCACTCAGCTTGTCATATCCAATGAATCCGACTTGACTGGGCAATAGACATCATATGCGTCCGGGTCCCGGCTTTTCTACAGTTCAAACGGAACAAATGCCACTCGACGGATAGCTTACGTTTCCATTGTGCATTCCGGATGGGGTTCCGTCAGTCTAGGCCTCCATCGCCCACAACCGACGCGTTCAACGCCTTGGAACCAGTTCCCACACTTCCCCAGCTGCTCCATTTGACACATGACGATGGGTACGGGCAGCATTGTACCAACACGCAAATGAGGCATTTTAGACAACAGAGACGTCGTCGCCTTCATATCGAAAGGCCCAGCCAGCGATATCAATATGCGCGACTAATCATCTTGGGGGCCTTCCATCATTTAACATTATGGATAAGCATCCACCCGCCGCCGCAGAAGCTTCCAAGCTTGTCAACTTAGGTCCAAGGCCGCCGTCTTGGCACTCTATAGCAAACCTGCTGTCATCACGTCCAAGCTGCCATTTGCAGTCCCTTGGACCCCCAATTTTAAAAACAGAATTCCCTACAGGGCTACGCATATTAGCCTCGACGAGGCTGCCAGCAAGGGAAGGCGAATCGACCAAGGCGCCGATAAGAGCACCCGTCAGATTGAGCCCTGCGTCGATCATCCTCGGCTTCCTCTGGGCTCTTGACTCGTCCCCTCCTCGTCCTTTGACCTCTCTGGCCGTCTGGCCGTCGTCCTTACTCTCTGTGTACGGAGTACAGCTACCCATTCAACATTGTTCATCGCAACTCTGTATCGCGGCACAGCCACCCCGTTGTTTCCTCGACATCGTCCAAATTTCCTCCTAATCTGGCCACTTATCCTCCGCTGAAACATCCAGCTTTGATGGACAGCATGCAAAAAGGTAACTTAGCTGTATCCCACTTCCCAGGAATATAGGCCCAGTCACGACACACGCCTGGAGGGAGGAAAATCAAACGGCCCCCAGTGACACTCCGTTCAATGTGTGAGTTTCAGGCTCTCTGCCGATCCATCCGGGCAGGACACTAGAGAACATCCACATTCGTCTATCACGAACCTCTGTCGCGTCGAGGCTAGCTCTTGCGCGGTGTCGCCAATCCGCACATGACAAAAGTTTCGCGCCAGTAGACGCGCTACCGAGTAAGATAAACACCAAATTGGTACGCGAAGATAGACCTAGGGCCAAGTCGTCCGGTTGTCACATTTGACATTCTCTCAGGAAGTCCACAAACAGCTCTCTGTCGTATGTTCCTGAGAGCGCCCACAAGCGCCCACATCGAACCTCTCGGACCATCTCGTATAACCAGCGCTATCCTAAACCGACAACGCCTCTACCCTGGCGTTCATGTCACCATCGACCCTAGCGTATGCTACATTATCCTGGAGCATTGCACGACCTCTTGACATCTCGCTCACTATTGTCTGGTATTAGATATGAGACGCAACCTCTTCCGTCTCACATTGCTTTCGAGACAAAGTGATGAAGAACAACACGCCAGATCTCATCGTTCATCTCAAACCTTCACTGACACCGTGCCCGCCCGTCCATCCATGGCTTACAATGTGATGCCTCTTGACTTTGGAAGGCTTACTATTCATACACGAAGCATCCGGAACTTTCTCCGGGACCCAATCGCAGTGCCCTACCGAGGAAACAACCCCCATCATCATTTCCCAAGAGTCCGAGACCCCGTTAGCAAACATCCATCAACCGGTCACCAGTCGCACTGAACCGCGGCCGAACGAACATCCAAACCCAATGTGGAAGGGCTAGCTCGTTGCTTACTCCAGAAGAGGCAAAGACAACTGCTCATCTCTTCTACAGATCCCCTCTTCTTGTCGAAAATCCCACCCCAGATAGACTTCGACGCTAGAGCCTCTCCGATCTGGCGCCCGCCGCATCCCCTACGCCAGGCTGACATTGATAGGATCCGAACGACGGCTCGCTCGGCCGAGTCGCTCCTCGAGGGCCCTTTTCTTTCTTTCTGTTTTCCCGCCTCTTTCTGTTTAAGCTCGCAGCTTGTAGCCCAACCGCACATCATCCACTATCACTTCGCGCGTGCCCCTCCAGACCAAGGACTTGAGTTGCTTCCCGAAGCTAGAGCGTCCGTGCCGAAGCTTTTTCGACATTGCCCACAGAATCCGACCCTACCAAACCAGGTATCTACCACTTCCCGGGTCTCCCAGGTGCTCAAAAGTAAACTTTGACATCTCATGTGCGTGTGTACGCTCTATCATCTCAAGATCTAGAACACGCCCCTTTTGTTTCTGTTCAGGAGCTGGCTTGAACTCGTCTGGGGGAAAACATCTTCAGAGACCCGTACGGATACTCTCCAGATTGGGAGAACCTTGCGTACCCATCCAGATACCCGCTCATCCGAGCTCCGAACTGACCTCATCTCACCCTTGAGTTCTGCATTTCTTCCCCGGTCATTCCTCGTCGTCGCACCAGAGCTGCGTGTCGGGCTTCCTCGGCGCCCATCGGGCTTCTCTTCCATGGCTCTCTACAGCGAGTGCGAACAACTCAACTAGTTTGCGCACCGGTTGCTACCGAATTTTCCCTAAACTCTAACTGAGACCATTGCCTTGAAAGCCAAGAGACTATTTCAGCCTTAATTCGCGGCAGACGCACCATGTAAGCAGATAGACAGCCGGCAGTTCATTCTTGCAGATCGTATAGGATAGCCTGCCTGCCATTAGCCAGCAAGTCTCGACGTTGTATCGATTCTGGCTGGTCCTTTGCGGAGCGACAACACTTTCTCTCTACCCTGACATTGCTGATTTAGGATTCGTGTATTTGCTCAACGTTGCAGACCGTGGGCTTTGAAGAAAGTCTGAAAAGAGTAAGAGTAAATGCAAATATAGATAGATACTGATCTGTATACTTTATCCTGTGTAATCGAGAGACTACATTGCTGCAGCCCTGCCGGCCAGGGACTTCACCCAAGAACATGGAATCTTGACATAGAACTAGGGGCATTAAGGGCAACGTGACATGCTTCAACTCGGCTGTCTATTCACACCACCTCACGTAGTCTTGTTCTTATGCTGGCATATGGGATACGGGGTCGCATTCATGTTCGGTTCTTGTTATGGGATGCTAAACCTGTTTTCTCAACCTAGAAATAGTGACATGCACTCATAGCCTATTGCCAACACACTCTCAAAGCCAATACTGATACACTTCCTCCCTATTCCAACACTTCAGCCCATAGGCAATCCCACAGTGTGTGGTGTAATCCATGCAATCTGTCCACGACCGTCATCCAACAACACCATCCTGATACTTGATCTCCGCCCTGATCCTTCCAGCCAATCCATTCAAGAGCTTCAGACATCCTTTCGAAGCAATTTTGAGACTGCAATACATCATAGAGACCCATGACAGACATATCGTCCGTGAATCACAACTTTGGAAGAAAGCTTGCTCGCATGCTCGCGGCTGTGGCGCCTGAAAGGGCTGAAGAATCGTCCTCGTGATGCTCTTTCTTCATCTTCCTCTGTGTGCCCAATGTGGCCAATCCTTTCATTCTCTGCTTCTTCATAGGTCCCATTTCTCGGTGGAGAATCTTGACGTGGTCCTCCACGCTTTCGGCATATGCTTCAGGAGTTTGCTTCTCATATGCAACTCGCGTTTCTGCGTCGCTAGTGTTAGCCACAGGCGTGTCACCTGACTTGTTTGCGATGGTGATGATATGTTCGAGTATGGCCGACCGAGGCCGAATGTTGTCTCCGTGAGACGACTTCACCCGGTCAGAACCCTGAGTCACTTCATGCTTGTTCAGTTCAGTGCGAGACGGCGCTTTTTGGTCCCGTCTGCGCTTCTTCTCGGGCTCTTGGCCCCGAATTGACTTCGGGCTGAGATTAGACGAGGCGCTTCTCTTGGGGACACGCGTAAGCCATCCATCGGGAGATCGGAGTCCTTCGACAAGCTGTCTTTCGGATGTGTGGGGGTTGTTTGCCGGGTGCACTTGTGCTCGTCCTATACGACTATGCGTATGGGAGCCACACGTCTGCCGGTCCTTCTGGCTATGGCGAGCTATTCCTCCGCCCTCTGACACGGGAGAATTGCGATCAATCATCGAGGTGTCGTTTCTACTACGTTGAGTGGGAGGTTGGGCTGGGGCAGGATCACGGGTGCTAGAGTCATTTCCTGTGAGATTGTTAGCTTGTGTAAACTAAAAGGGAGAGATCATGGAAACGGTGCAGTACTCACTTCTAGAGCGGAGCAAGTTTGACGTGGATGATTTACCATGGCTGGGTGTTTCTCCTGTCTTGGGGTTGGGGTGTGTATGGCTCCTACGCCTACCCGTTGTTGAGCCAGCTGGAGCATTCTTCCTAAGAGAAGCAAAAGAGTCGTCACTGTCGTATTCACCCTCGTACTTGCTATTGGCGAACCCAGGAAGGGGCTGTTCGGGTTCGTACAAAGGACCTGGCAAAGTCTTGATAGCCACCAAGCCCATCTTGTCGGGGTCCATTCTACGCTGATTCAACACTTTCGGCTTCTGGCTTGGTGTTGTGCGAATAGACCGGCTCCGTATAGCAAGAGACGTCTTTGTTGTTGATGAAGGTTTTGCCGGGGATTCCACTCTCTGCTTCTTGGCGGCTGGAGCCGGCAACGGTCTGTCGGGTGCAACATCATCATGGCTTCGCTTCGACCCCTTCGTTGTCGTCAACTGAGTGTTCCCTTTCAAATCGTTCTAGGTCTTTGAAGAGGTATCATCCTGACGTTGGGCTCGACGAATTGGATTGACTCCTTGCTTGGGAACTGTCACGGTTCGGATGGAAGGCTTGGGCGCCTTGGCCATCATGTTGGAAAGCAGACTGAAGCTTTTTGGGACGGTCGGTTCCTTTGCGATGGTCACAGCTTTCTTTTTGGCGGTGCCTTGGTTGGTGTCAGATGCCCAGCGCGTGGTATCATCCTCACTCGACTGCTTCTTGGGAAGGCTTTGGGATTTCATGTCATGACCGACCAGAGTCGAGGACAACGATGATGTGCGAGGACGGGAAGTCGTCTTGGGCTTGGTAGCTGCTATTCGTGGATGTTTCTGTCTATCCGTGCTAGAAGAAGTGTGGTGTTCATCGTCTTCATCTTCAAGAATGAAACCAGACACTTTGATTGCTGCAATTCCTTCCTGGAGGCCGTCGGCCGAAGGAGCTGTAGCTGTAGGCTTTTTGCTAGTACTTCCATGGCTCTCGCGTTCTTCGGTGTCGGGGAAGAAGCCACTTTTGAAAGCCCGACTCTGCAGCTTATCGAGAAATCTGAGGTGCTCGATGTGGTCGCCGTTTGCAGGCGACGGGATTCTCATAGGTGAAGAAGGTGCGTGGAGGTGTGTAGTTGGGTTATCAAGCAGTGGGTTGCCACGATGTAAACCACCTTGATCGACGAACAGACTGTCCGTAGCTTGGGATGTGGCCCTGGATTTGGCCGTAGCGTGTAGACTCGACAGGGTATCAGCCTTCTGAAAACGATGTTCCGAAGCTTTCTCTCGATAGCTTCTAGAGAACTCGGTTGATGGCAGAGAAGATGCGTTTCGGCCAGGTGGCCAAGGAGTATCGGGAGGGTGTGGGCTCAGAATCCTATGCCGATCGTGATCGATAGCCGATGGAAAGTGCGATTGCGACTGAATTGGACCGAGTGAAGAAGCCATGGCTGGAAGTTCGGGGAATGGGGTTCTTGGAGTTTGCTGATAAGCTGCCGAAGAGCTATTGAACCCTCTAGAGGGTGATTGGGAAGCTGGCGATGGCTGGATGTGGTTGGTGCTATGCAGAGAATACTCGGCCTCTGCACCGCGCTCCCGCGATGAACTACCCTGTGAGGAAGAATAGTGACGCGGCGTGAGATTGCTTGGTCGAAGGGGTGGAAGTGACGCGTATCTTGGCTCGGCAGGATGCCGAAGAAGCTTCTGCTGTTGGCCTGATGACCGACGAGACGCCGCAGGAGCGTGGTGAGTGAAGTTGTCTTCCATACTGAACAACCACCCAACGAGCAGATTTCCGAGGATGGTATCTCTCGCGTGCTCTGGAGGTAAGCTCGTGGTCAGAAGACTCGGCGCGGAAAAGTGACACTCAAGAAAGACGCGATCGTGGAGGCGCGACAATTTGCCAGACTTGGGATAAGGAAGGGTGACAAGAAAAGACCAAAAAAGGCGACACTCCAAAACACCAAAAATACAAGACAAGACTCAAAGAATGATTCTCTGAGCACTGCGCAAGTAAGAATGGTAAGAGAATGTGATGTATGGAAGTGGGAGGTTGGTGAGATTTGCGCGGGTCTCTCAGCAACGCGATGTGGTGATGGGAAGATGGAAAGGTAAACAATTCCCGCGATGAGGAAGGCTTAGAGATGAAGAGTGGACGAAGTGAGAAGGATCGATCCAACCAGGGGGAATAAACACCCTCCAACCTCCTTCTGACCGCCCCCCAGAGCCGTTTCTGAGGTAACAACCGCCTTTTGAACAACCTTGCGTCTGCGTGAGGCAGTCACGCGTACGCGTTTCTGGCCAGAACTTCAGATGGAAGGAGCGGAGTGCCTCAGGTACCTAAATGTAAGATGGATCAGGAAAGAGCAAGTGAGCAAATGGGCATGAGGTGCCTCCCAGAAAGAACGTGAATCAGGTCAAGGGGAGGAGAGCAGATGGATTTCTCGGATGAGAGGGGCCTGGGGGTTGCTCCCTGCTTACCTTGTCAATGACCCCGAGAAGAAGGAGGAGATCGTCCACGGAATTTCTAAGGACATTTGACTGAATACTTGACTATAATTGACTTGAACATTGGATTTTTTCTTCTGAGTAGCCCCTGATATCGTTTTCCCTCGAGCAAGGTGTTCCCGGACGGTGCTAGAAGTTATCGTCTACTAAGTATCATAGGAGCGTATTCAGTCAATTAGTAAGGAGGAAGAAATAGCGAAGGAAAATTTGAGCGAGTGCTTCTTTACTATCTAGTGCTTGAGAGCAGTACTCTGACAACTATCAAAGTACGTCCCCCAAGGCTCGTGACATACCAACATCAATAATGACTAATCGTTCACGAGTTCAAAAACAAAAGAGTTCACCCCCCCGGTGCTGAACTGGGGGCTACATCTCTGGTGCTCATGCTGGGACTCGAACTCGCTAAGCCTGTCGTCGAGTAGGCTGGTTGGCGTTTTGATTGTTGACCGTAAACCGTTCCACCACCACACCACAGTTTGACCTGACCCCCGGCCTAGGGGGCGCCTGCTGCGCTGGTGACAAGAATTGGGTTGAGGGGATATATGAGGGCTTGTTGTTGTGTGTTCGGGTTGGTATAGGCAGAAGAGGTATCGGATGAGAAAGTTTGTGATGTGGCTGGGTGGGAAAGAAGGCACGGGTTGGGGTGGCTGACCTGGGTACCCATTGAGGTGTAAGCTTCGAACGAACTGAGTATGTCAAGTCTTTCTCATGTTCTATGTGGATGTTGTCTGGTTGAATATCTTTGACATAAGCCTAACCATATCTACGCTCTCTTGCTGGCCCTTTGCAAAGCCTTACCAAAGTGCTCGACAAAATCAACACAGTCCACAAACGTATTATACAACGGCGCCGGCGCAACTCTGATGACATTCGGCTTCCTCTCGTCAATAACCACCCCAACCTCCTCAAAGTACTCCATCACACCATCCAGCAGCCCATCCGCGAGCTTCAAACTCAACTGCGCGCCGCGCTCCTCGCTCCCCGACGGCGTAATAATGCTAAACATATCGGAACTGAGCCAATTCTGGAGCAGCACCTCCAAGAACGCCGTCAACCGCTTCGACTTCTCCCGCAGCGGCGCCATCCCACCAGCGAGCTCAAACACCTCGAGCGAGGCGCACAGCGACGTGATGTCGAGCACGCTCGGGTTACTCAGCTGGAACCCGGCCGCCCCGGCCGCCGGGTGGAACTTTGTCGCCATGACGAAGCGCGAGCTCTTGTCGTTACCCCACCATCCGCCGAAGCGGTTCACGTACCCTTGATCGGAGTCGGCGTCGTCGACCGAGGTCGTGACGGCCGTGTGCCGCGCGTTGACAAAGGCGCCGCCGATGCAGCCCGGCCCGCCGTTGAGGTACTTGTACGTGCACCAGGCCGCGGCGTCGACGCCCCAGTCGTGGAGGTGCAGCGGGACGTTGCCGACGGCGTGAGCGAGGTCCCAGATGATGGGGATGGCGTGCTTGTGCGCGAAGGCGGTGATGGTTGGGATGTCGAGGAGCTGGCCGGTGTAGTACTGGATGCCCGGCAGGAGGATGAGGGTCGTGTCTGCGGCGTGGGCCTCGATGACGGAGAGGATGTGCTGGGTTGCGAGGGTTGGCTCTACGGCTGTTGAGGGGGGTTCAATGCAGACCATTGACGTTGATGGGGAGAGATCGTGGTGTCTGATTTGGGTCTCCACGACGAACTGCAGGAGTTGTTAGTGCCGTTCGTTCAAGTTTGCGGAAGAGAGCTGACTTACATGGTCACTTGGGAAGGCCTTGCTCTCCAGGATAATCTTGTGTCTGCCATCCTTCTTGGGCTTGTAGAAGGCCGACATGAGAAGATGGAGGTTAGCTGTCAGGGTCTGCATCACGGCAACCTCGGATTCATCAGCGCCAACAATGGGAGCCATCATCTTGGCTGCCTTGGCGTCGACATCGAGCCATGTCGGCAACGGGGAGTCCTCCAAAGGCTTGAAGTGTCCCTGGACGCCCTGCGTCGCCCAGGTAGACAGATACTGCTGTATCCTCTCGGCGGTGCGCTTAGGCTGCAGGCCGAGGGAGTTGCCGCAGAGGTAGGTGCATTTCTGCTGACCCGCGTCTGATGTGGCAGAGCCGTCATCTTTTCCTTGGTGAAGGATATTAGCTTCAAAAATCTAGAGTCTAGAGGGCATTGAGTGACGAGAGACGACACGTGAATGAGATGGGGAGAGCGATAATGAAGGAAGCTAGGTGTCTTCTGATGGAGTAGAATGATGCCCCCAATTGCTAACCTTTCTTGGCAAGGGTCTTGCTGGTGATGTCTTGTTTCGTGGGGATGACGAACTCATCCCGCGTGTGCCTCAGCGCATCTTCCTGGTCCAGGGCCTCGGCGCGTTGCCTGTTGGAAGCGTCGAGTAGAGGATCCATATCGGTTCGGATAGTGTGGATGACCTTTGACTAAGATACGTAGGGCGATCTCTTGCTCCGACCTTGGCTTGAGGTTGGAGAGAGATAGAGAGGGACTGAAGCGGGGGTGGGGAAATCGAGATGGCCGTCAATGTGTCTTGGGATCTTTCTCTCTCAGGTTCACCTTGAATAGCAGAGTCGCAGCAACCCTTGATCGTGTGTGTCAAGATCCTTGAAGTCACTGAGCTGGCCTCAAAATCCTCCGTTTACGGCTTACAAAATGATGCACGTTGGGTCAGAAGTAGTGAGGTCAGCAGTGTTTTCCATCCAAAAACACGAGTGAAGTCATGATGCTCCATTGAATAATTCCCGCGCGTGCGCCCCTCCTCCAATGAGGGGTTCGGATGGAGCTCCGGCTGGCGGGGCCACGCCGTGCAGCTGGCAACATTCACCACCTTCCACCTTCTACGACCACCAAGTGACCATCACCACCAATACGACCACTTGAAACTGGATGATTGTGTAGGTAGGTAGGTAGGTACCTGAGCTTGGGATGGAGCTGACCACTGAGAGACTAAGGAAGCATCAGCTGTTCCCACCATGTAAAGCAGTTGGAGAGAGAGAGAGAGAGAGAGAGAGAGAGAAAGGAAGAGGTGAGACGATGGAGAAATGGCCATCTCAGCATCAAAGGGGGAGAGGATCCTCTTTTTCTCCAAAAACTTGTGGTTTAGTGGACCTTGGAAAACTTGGTGTTGTATCGTGATGCTGATATTAAAGAGGTCAAATTCGATTGAATCAGGAGGGTACTTCCCTTGGACCCTCGACATGTACCTCACTCAAGTACCGTATACTTGGTCTCACTGCATCAAGGCACACCTACTTGTACAGGCATATATCTCACAAGTTTCAAAAATATCAAAAACCTGCATCGTGACAATCAAAGGAAAAAAAAACTTCTGTTCCATTCCATCATCATCATCATCAAAAACAACAATAACGTGCTCGAGCTAAACGCCTCGGATTACGAAATATGGGAGTTTTCATTACCCCCTCAAAACCCCGGTATTACCCCCTCATTACCCCATAGACTGGCCACATGCGGGGTTTTGCTGACTCGTCCCTTGGCAACAACCCTCCGCAATCCGCGAGTCTGGGGGGGTGCACACGAGATTGTTTTGGGTCCAGAGAGGGCCGGTCGGTACCTTGAGCCTCGAGGCGCAAGGTAAATCAGGTACGGACGGCGACGGCGGCGACGACGGCATGGCGGGGGTGGGCTTGCGTCTTGTCTCGCCCCTCCAAGTTTTTTTTGATGCCCATGAACGGCGGTACCTGATGGACCGCCAGATACCTGGTCTTACACTCCATCCAGACGGAGTCTCTTTTGGGGAAAGGAGGACCACATGAATGGATCCAACAGAACCACATACGAGTCTATACTATGTATGACTAGACGGAGAGGGTGGGAGGTGGAAGATCAGGTAGGTAGCACGGGGTCGGACGGAGCCAGAGAACAAGTCCGTCACCCCCTACTCCCCGTGAGCGTCCGGGGATCCACGGCGGGTGATGCGGAGGACAAGGTGACTCTGTAAACAAAAATGGGTGGTGGGAAAAGTATGCTACCACACTCGCCCTCCTCCGACGGAGTTCAATGTCCCACGGAAGGAATCGCGGCACGGGGTTCTTCGGCAGCGGCGGGCGCTTGGCGGATATCAACGTACAAAGTATTCGTACGCAGCAGTAGACTGACCGGGCTTACTTTCCTTGCAGATCCTGAAGCAGTGTGGCAAGCCTGGGCCCAAGGAGACCCGTTTCGAATTCGAGCCACCTTTTCCCTTTCTCTTCCTCTCGTTATCATCCATTGGGACACGAGACTTACTCTCTGCGATTTCCTAGAATTAAGCAAGTCTTCCCAGAGCCATGGAAAGATAAGCACCGGGTGCCCAACCCGAACATCTTGGAAAGTTTCCCCCTGCCCCCGGGTGGTCGGATGATCTTCGCACTTTCGGGTTCCCTCTTAGCCTCATGCAAGTTTTTTCTCCGGGGTGGTGGCAGGGGGAGGACAACGGGCCGTATGGGCTTGATATGGAGGATTGAAGCTGTACGTAGAGTTACGGAAGTAGATGCGATTTTGGTCCCTTTCACACAATCGATCAGTCAGTTACCCCGATGAGCTGAAGCTCTGCTGGAGGGAGGGGGACTGAGAAAAGAAAGAAGATAACGGCCTCCCGGTCGGGGTTTCTGCAATGCACCTTTTTCAAGGATACTCTGTAACTAACTGCTAAAGATGGGATTTGGGAACGGAACGCTGCAGATTCGAGGACACGACATACATGACTAGGGGGTTGGTTGGCGCTCTCCTGCAATGACAGGAAAGCCCGCCGCACCTAACAATACACTCGCGGGTTTCCTTGGCTGGAGTTTCCCATTGACTTGACGTTGGGACAGTTTCGGGTGGAGACCCCGACCCTCCGGCGTGATCACCAAAGTTTTGTGGGAGGCTCTGCTTGGCTACCACTTTGTTCTATTTCTTATTCTCTTTGTAGCAGGTACCCGGCACTACGAGCGTATGTCTTCACAACCCAAAATTGCCATTCCAAGTTCTTCTAAGACGATTTCAAGAGGCCTCCCACACGGCGGGCGTAAACGGCGTGAATTTCTCCCCAAAATGCCTCTGGGTTACTCAATCGGGAAGAGCCATTTCTCTCTCTCTCTCTCCCCAGTTGCGCTTCAACTCAAAGAGTTTTCCTTGACAGAGTGACAGCACATTTCGGAAACCAGGCTATCTGATCGTGGTACCTTGCCGGATCGGAATGAATAGACGCGGCACGATGCGCCCGTCGATATGCACAATAGAGGAGGCCTCTCTTTTTCCCCCTCCGTTTTGCATATCCAATCAATTGACAAGCGAATAGAGAAAGGACGAGAAAAAAAAGAGAAAGAATCCGGGATGCATAGGTCAGGATCGGCCGGATATTCTTACGTACTCGTACATGTTTGTGGCGGTCGGTAGTGAGTTTTGCACGATGCCGCAATTATTGCAACAGCTTTTGTGACTTTTGCGACTAAAGCAAGGGGTAAGGTAAATCAGCAAGTACAACACACCCAAGTGTCGGGAAGGTTTATTTTGCTATGATTTTTTTTCCTCTCTGGAAATATACCAGAGCTACCATTCAATCCTCGTTTCTATGTGTCATTGAACTGCCTTCTACGCAGTACACCCCCAGACCCAAAACAGAGGTGAGAGCTTCTCTCTCCATCGTGACCTGGGGCTGGAATGGTGCCATTGACCTGGGACCCCCGAACCGGGCTTGACGGGCCACCTGGCGCGGCGAAGGAAATTAAACAACGAAAGTCGCATCGTGACCTTTCTCGTTTTTTTCTTTCCTTGGTCCGTGGTCGAGCTGAGACTCGTGACGGCTGACTTGCCCCAAGCTTTCCCCGGGGAATGGGGGAATGCCCCCCCAAAAAAAGGAGGGGGGGAACGGGACCTGGAAGAAAAATCTGGGGAAAGGTAAAGTAGTGAGTAAACTTGGCAAGTGACGATCCGAGTTTTCCATCCCCTTGTGGCTGTGCTATTGGAGTCACGATCTCTTCACTCTGTCAATAGTGACGAGAGGCGTTGTTGGGGTAAAGCGGTCTCCGGACTCAACCCCCTAATTTTGGCAGCGGGAATGTGGACGTGTGCGTGCGTGCGTGCGTGTATGTGTTCCACACCTTGAGGTGTGAACAATTCTAGAACTCGGTGGACTGAAAGGCGAAATCGGGGTAAGGTACGGTGAGAGAAACATCGTGACACGTCGTGTCTCTTGACCCTTCCCAAGGGGACAAGGTTCACTTCTCAACATTGAACGACGTGATTGAGCATCGAATCCATAGACAGAGTCAGGCAATGCAGATTTGAACACTCCATTCCAGGCTTCCTGTCAAGTTTCCCCAAACTCTTACCCCATAACATCCACATCGTATAGTAGTATGCAGGAAGGGAGGACGGCGCAGTGCTTGTTACTTTCCCGAAAGGGGGAGAGAGAGAAGAATCGAATTTGGACGAAACAAAAGGCCTTGCCGGGCCGCGTGATGAGAGGAGTCTTGGGTTTAGAGCCTTTGGAGACCGGTAGTGTTTTACAACGGCTTTTCTATTTGGTAATGGCGATGCGGGATCGCGGGGCATCAATTTGGATCGTCGGAGCCCCGGCCTGGGGTGGGCTAGATTCTATGGAATGGACTGTGTTTGTTACGCAAGTCGAGACCGAAAGGGAGTGAGAGTATCGTGAGTTGTGAACACCATCCAAGGTACGGTACCGAAAAGCTGGGGTAAAGCAAAGCAGAGAGAAGCGTAAGCTGCAAGAGTCAGAGAGAGAACGGGGCAATATCCAAACGAACTAGGTTTTCCATCATCCAGAGTCCTTCCCAACTTCCCCAATGGGGCCAAGTCGGTCTGTCCCGTGGCCATCTCGGGGTCGCAACTGGCGCTGGCGCGGGCTGCACGATCAAGTAATCTGGGGGTAATGGAAACTCGACGATTCGGGGGCCCGGCCCCGTTCGGTTGGTAGATGGAACAAACAACAGCCATGCTAGAGCGGCTGTGGGGAAAGGGAGACATCAGCCGCCGCGCTCCCGGGCCACTTGGGGCTGGATGGGTCAGGGCCATCCCCAACATTGTTGCCGTCCCGTGATCTTTTTACAGGCTTGACTGGTTTCTCCCTCGGATCTTGGACCCTGGGGTTTTGCTGCTTGTTCTGGTCTAGACTGTTGTTGGGGGGGCCTTCCTGGGCGTGCGTGTGTAAAAGGAGGGCTGAGCTGGTTGATCTCTGTAGTTGTGCAGAACATCCGGGGTAAGAGAAATATGGAAAGCAGAGAGTCTCGGTTCCTGACGAGGCCGCCGGAAGGGAAGAGCGAGAGACTGGTGTTGTTATTCTGGGGGGATTAGATAATCCGGTTCCTGTGTCCCAATTGCAACTGATAGTCTTTGGACGAACATGGTTGTTACTATTAGTGTCCATATTTTT